GTTGCTCCCTCACTAGTTATATTAGTCTTAACTACATGCTTGGAGTGGATTCAGGCAACAAAGCCCTGAATATAATTTCACAGTGTGGCTAAGAACACAGTTCACGTGTTTCCATTTCCTGCTTCAGACCAGTCCCTCCGGCTAGGTGATACAGGGTGCTGTGTGACTCCAGGGCTGAAGCTCCCTTCTTGAGTAGATCCCCTTTCAAGTACACTACCTTCAACTTTTTTTTTTTTAATAATTTTATTGGGGGCTCATACAGTGCTTACCACAATCCATACATCCATTGTGTCAAGCACATTTGTACATTTGTTGCCACCATCATTTTCAAAACATTTTCTTTCTACTTGCACCCTTGGTATTAGCTCATTTAGTTCCCCCCTCCCTCATTCTCCCTCCCTCATGAGCCCTTGATAATTTATAAATTATTATTGCTTTTTCATGTCTTACACTGTCTGATGTCTCCCTTTACCCACTTTTCTGTAGTCTGTCCCCCAGGGATGGGGTTATCTGTAGATTCTTGTGATTGGGTCCCCCTGGCTCCCCCCCACCTTCCCCTTACCCTTCTGGTATGGTTACTCTCATTATAGGTCCTGAGGGGTTTATCTGCCCTGGATTCCCTGTGTTTCCAGCTCTTATCTGTACCAGTGTACATGCTCTGGTCTAGCCGGATCCCTACCTTTATTCTACCACCACTGAGCTCTTCGCTAAGTTTTAATCTGGCATCCACCACTCTTTTTAAATCTCTCTGTAGTCGACGTCCAAAATCTCTGAACATCGTTGAACCTCCTGAAAGAACGACATTCTGAAAAACACAAAAAAGAGGATTTCCTGTGAATGAAATCATCTAATCGCATTTTCCCTGTAAACTTCTCTGCAACAAAATCTCTTGATTCCATTTTCCTGCAATCATTTTGAAACCCATCATATGTCCAACTAATTTCTGCAACTATCACATTTCATTCTATACAAAAAGATACTAATCAAAGTTAATACTATCCAAAATGTTTACAGCGAATTTTTTCTGTGCCAGAAATTCTCACAAATTCCCTCAGAACTTCTCTTCAATTAAAGCCAGTGAAGACTTCCAACAATTCTGCTTATGTGTTCCCTCCGTACCATGGCGACCTTCACACAGATTGTACAACCAAAACAAATTGTATCCATGGACAAACTGACTTTCTCAGTTATTCTATCTTTCATCTAAAGTCAAATTGACAGTGGGTCTTAAGATGTTTTGCCCCACCTAACCACTAGGAGAAAAGTCTTCCAATTCCTGCGGAACCTTTCCAGCAGGGTGATCCTGGGAAGGAAGGCACACCCTGGACTGCAGAGTGTCCTCCAAGAACTCACCAAGCTAGTACGTTAGGTTGAGGTTGCATTGCAGTAGGGTGTGCCCTAATCCACTAAGACCGATTTCCTGATAAGAAGAGAAGAATTTGGCCATAGAAACACAAATATATAAAGAAAATAGTCCTAAAGAGATGGGGACAGTAATTAGAGCCAAGGAATGCCTAGGCTATCAGAAGCAACTAGAGAAAAAGAGGCTTTCAGTGGAAACATAGCCCTGCCAACACTTTGATTGCAATCTCCCAGGTTTCAGCATTATGGGAGTATAACATTCTGTTCTTTAAGGTACCCTAGGGCATTACTATAAGCAACATTCTGAATTACCTGGAGAAATTTTTTCCACATGAAACCTACTTCCTGCTCGGGGTCCCTCCATCAGGCCAATATTCATACAAGTGGTATATCAGAAGCTTGTGTGTGCAAGAGGAGGAAGGGGGAGGCCACCTTCACTGTCCTATCAGATTTGTATGAGGGATAAAAAAATTAATCTTTCAAGCTTTAGGATACTACTTAAAATAATCAAAGTGAAATTAAATATGTCATGATTGTCATGGATTGAACTGCATGTCCCCCTGCAACGTCTGTCAACTTGGCTTTAAAACCAAACCAGACTCACTGTCACCAAGTTGATGTCAACTCACAGCAACCCTATAGGCCAGGGTAGAACTGCCCCCGAGTTTCCAAGACTGTGACTATTTAACAGAGGAAAGGGCGCTGAGAAAAAACTGTGTTTGCCAGAGCCTATAAATGCTACAAGTTCACCAAGTCTGCCCAGAGCCGACAGTGAGAGAAAGCCTTCCCCTAGAGCAGGCACCACGAGTCTGGACTTCTCACTTCATCGTAAACTGAGAGAGAAAAAATTTGTTTGCCAAAGCCATTCACTTGTGATATTTTGCTATCGTAGCACTAAATATCTAAAACAATGATTAAACTTTCTTAGAGAAGGTATCATTTGAGAAAAGGTACATAAGAAAAATAAATATGAGTAAGTATAAAAAAGTGATTGTTATAAAACCATAGAAACTTTTATTAAACAAAAGTATCAATATGTGAAGCTATTATTTCTCAACATAGCCTCCATCTAAGTCTATACAGTTCTGAAAGTGGTGTGATTTTTGTTTGCTTTTTACATTATAGTTTCCATTATGATGATTTCTAAATAGTTTTATTG